TTTATATGAAGAGAGTGATGTGAGGAGAGTTTGTGTGTGAGTTGGAGTGATACATGGAGAGTTTGTGAGAGAAGCTGTTTGGGACATGAGTGAGAGGATGAATCCTAGTCTTCTAGAACCATGATGCGCTACCGCAAAGCCATTAGAGGTAAACCTGAGTGAGAGTTAGCCCGGAGGTTGCAGTACTTCCAACAGATATTTTGATCTTCCCGTTGCAATCATATCTTCATGACATTAGTGTAAACACCTTGCTAACTTTTACCTTTAGACATCATGTTCTCAATGTTAAATTTATTTTTGTCTTGTATTTTTTACTGTAATAGAATCACCTTATCAGCTTTTTGCTTCATATATCATGTTCTCATTGTTCAATTCATCATTGATGATTTGAACATTCCTAATTCAAAAAATCATCTTTATTTTTTGGAAGTTTTTGTCTTCTCTTAAGTTGCAATATCTTCATGCTCAAAATTTTTAGAATGATCGACATGTTTGTCATTGTTTTTGTTCCTAATATTCTTGTCATCATTTTTTTCTTAGCCTCTTTTCAAAACTTCATAATCCACGTCACTCATACTCTATAAGTCATATTGTTCAATCCTCTTGTGTCCACATATCTTTATCATTTACTAATTTGTGATGATTAGTTCTGTAGCTAATAATTCAATCTTTGATATGACAAATACAATTTTATTTATGTGAGCTAATTTGCAAATCACAACACACCATTGTACTATAATTTTGATCAAATATGATTGCGTGCTATAAATAAAACACAACGTACATTATAAATCAAACGTAATCAAACCATCAATTATAACTTGCAAACTATAAAGCCGTTAAGAATGAAGTAGAAACTTCATATGAGTATTATCCTCATGCACAACGCAAAGACGATGCAAAAGCATTTTTTATTGGAATAATAACAAGTTTTTTAACTTTGATGTCTTTGAAGCGTGATATGAAGAATATGTGTATAGAATTCTAGCTCCAACATCAAAACATAATTTTATATTGATTTTTAGATTACCCATTATGTGTTGTTTTTTTAGTAGATGAAAACAACATAGCATAATTAAGGAGTGGAGAAATATGACATTAACTTAAGATATATAATTTGATATATTTTTATACTTTTAATATGAATGGAGATTTTTTGAATTGAGAATGATGCAGTTGATACAAAACCCATGAGGTCTAACCTTCAATGTTAAAATTAGATACTACTCAGTATTATCAAACTTATCTAACAGATCAACATCAATCAAATCAAGGAAACTCTACGATGATTTGTTTGCTTGCAATATTTTACGTCTCTTATCTTACCATGTTAAAACTTGATTAATGTCTTACTGCAAAATCACATGTGCTTAAAGTACATATGCAATCTTCAAATTCACATTAAGAACAAACTTGCAAGCAAGCAAAGATTGAATTTTAAATCATGTCACATAATAACAACAGTCACTTTTTTACTTCTTACTTGAACTAACTACTTATTGTTGTAAGTAATTGAAAGGGTATTGACTTCTACTTCTCTAGTTGCAACATTAGTGGTAAGAGAAGATTTACAAAAACAAATCAAAAGAATTTTATGCATACAATAATTGTAAAAAAAGATGCACAAAAGCAAACCAAAAAAATTCTATGCATACCAGAGTCATGCGGTGGGTACTCAATACTCACTCATACTCATAAAATAATAATGAACATGTACTATGATGCATGGATGAATAAAGGATGGATATTGGATACTCATGGATATGAACACTCATTGCAAGACTATGATGTACATCTTCAGAACAAAATACTCTTCCGCAACTCTTATTGAAGTGTTTAGAAAGTATTATAAGTAGAACAAAACTATGTGTTTTATATTTTGAGGTCCAAGGCTCGAGACCAGTGGGAGAGGCTTTTGCGTACTCGAGATGACGAATTATAGTTTCAAGATTCTTGTACACAATGAATTCTAAGACGTACCCGACAAATGGAGTCAATGAGCATGCTCCAACAAAAAACCATGAAACATTATGTCTGGGAGATGGCCATCTCATGCGCTTGAAGAGCTCATTTGCATATAATGACATTATGTACTGAATGTCGGCTATCACATGTTCATGTTTTTATCATATTGCTAGTTAAACACCATTTTGCAGCTTGAAGTGAAACACTTCAAGTGCTTTTAAGTAATTTTATTTTGTTGATGTACTCGTGGATATGGACGATGGACTCATGGATAATGGATGGGTATTGAATATGGAATAGTTTCCATGGACGTATAATGGATGGATATAGTTGACCCATTCATGGTATGGGTTGGGTTGAGTAAATTTTTGAAGTTCAATGCAAGATCTTGATGGATACACAATGTTGGCAAAAGTAATATACATTGTAACAAATGTACTAATTATAATTCTAAATTTGAATAAAGCTAAATTAGCTAGATTAACTAGAATGGAATCCAATACTTGAGTTAATAGTTACACATGAATCTTATTTTGAAAAGTTCAAGATATTTTTAAACATCAAGACTATATAGTTTCAAATAATATTTTAATTTTGATTTAAACTGATTATTATACATATAGTATGGCAAACATGTCACATATAATCGAAACATTGTATATCATGTAGCTTAAATGCAAATCATTTTCTAGAAAATTCAATGTTAATTGTCATGAAGACTTTCATGTCAATATATCCCAAATATAACTTTCAAATGCATATTACATATATTTATATTTATTTATCATTTATTCAAAAATTGAAACTGTGAATATCATGTTCTCTAACAATTTCTATATATGATTTTTTGAATAAATAATCAATAAAGAAATAAATCATTCATGGTCAAAGTTTTATTATTGTGTGAAATAATGTTTTTCCAAGATTTGATTTAGTATGATCTAAGAATAAGAGCATAGGATGGATATATTGAAAGCTAAAAAATTTCAATAAAGCTAAATTTGAATGTGATCTTTCAAGTCAAAATTAGTGAGTTTGTGTTAGGAATAGTCACTTGTTTCAAAATAGTCTTTCTAAGATATTTTGAGTAATGAAAGTGATTAAATTGAGCAGAATTTTGTGATTTAAGAAAATCTGAATCCAAATAATTTCATATAATAAATATTGATTATGTCCCGTAGTTTGAACAATACTCATATAGTCAGATCAAACTTTATGTAGACGTAAATATTTCAATCACATGTACATATCCAAGCGATGATGACTGCATTTTTGCTCGTTCGTATCTTTACCTTGAGATGTAAATACAACAGAGTCATGAGATTGGACGTTTCACACATCATACTTACGGAAAGAAGAAAAAAAATAGGTTTCGAAATTCTAAAATGGGCACTTCATTGGTATATATTTTCACATTCAGAACTTCTCCACCTCAGCATACAACACACATGTGTAAATGATATTGATCAAAATTTCAAACTTTAGACTTTTTAAATATTTTCATCAATTCTAGATATTTGTTCATCCATATCCATATAGATGATTTATAAAAAAGGATACAATATTGGATCATAATACAACAAACATCTTTGATTAGACAAATATCACAGACAAAAAATAGGGAAATAAATAAGTAAATGTGTTTAGATCATTTAACTTATCTTTAAATGTGACCAAAATTTGAATTAAAAAATTGCCCATTACCTATTCACCATCAACGTTTGGCACATTGTAATACTACAATGTCTGAAAAATAAATTTTATACTATAAGTTTTCAGTATACAATCTCACTCTCGCTAGCGTGATCACCTAACCATCATCTACGGATCCAAAGTTGTTGAATAACAGTGAGTAATATATATGTGGCAATATACAATCTATTATATGATAAAATATGGTCATAAAAATATTTACTATTCGACATGCGCCGAGATTCATAGCTTAATTTTACGAATTCAAAATTAGGATTATGTTCGAAATAAGAAATAAAAGTATAAACCGATGAGAAGATGAAATCTGATGTGAAGGAGGTATGGATGTAGGCATCACCGAACGAAATAAAGTTATCGTATATACAACGAGACAAGGGACGAAAGTGTCCAATAGAATGAACTTTTAAACGAATGACCGCATTCTGTAGCCAAGCAGACTTTGGCAATACTTTCATTGTAGAGATACCAACCTGAACTGCATTCGCAAATCTCTAATGTTCAGAAAGTGAAAACCCAGGATCTATGGGATAGGTTTGGAAGCGCGAAGAAATATGTCCTCACCGTGACTCGGCTTCTAGGAACATATTGCCAAAGTCGTACTCGACCAGGAAGACTTTGTAACCGCACTGGAGACGAAGTTCTATTTCTCGTCGCCGGGTCCAGTCACTTCATCTTACTCTGCTTCCTCTGGAGTCTGACAACTGTCTCTCACGTCATTCACGGAATTTATCGCCAGGCACGAGAAAATCACACGAAGGTGTGGTGCGACCCCAAATGTCAAAAGGTCGGCATCGAATTTTCTCACTCGCATGTGGATTCCTCGACTCGTAGACCACATTCGTATCTGTTATTAGCCGCGGCCTCTCTGACCTGGCGGGTCCGGAATACTGGGTCTCATGCAAGGAGGTCGAGAACTAGAATCCGGACAGAAACGCATCACTACGCAGTTAAGTAAAGTTCGGTGGTTTTACTCGGACAGCTAGCTACGCAGTAGAAGAAACACCGCGTAAGAGCTCGCAGTATGTACCTTTGATGGGGTCTTTGCAAAAAATATTTGGTTCACAATTTGTTTAATAAAGTTTCAAGATAAGTTCAAGCGAATCGAGAGAAAAGGAGAACTGCAGGGCCGCACGTGGTTCTCTTGACGCCGGTGTTCGAACGGTCGAATAAATAAATCTTCGTCTCGGGGTACGCCGAAGCCCTCTTCTGCCGAGGCGAGGTTTAAAATTCGGACGAAGAGTGCCGTTCGTGCGCAGTTTCACGCCGCGGTTAATAGTCAGTCCATTGGCCGGAGAGAGAGGGAGACAGTTAGGACGGGGTGGATGAGGACGAAGCAAGTCGCCGAGCCTAGTAAGCTTGGGGCGCAAGTCTTATCGACTCGGAAGTCGTCCGCTGCAAAGTACGGACAGAAAAGGACGGAACAGAGCAGGCGAGGCGAAAACCTGAAGGCAGCAGAGCTGGAGGAGCGGGCGGGGGCCGCTAAATGTAGGAGAGGAGCGGGACGAAGGGAGCACGCAAAAGGTGTCGCCACGAAGGTGAGCGACGGACCACGTGGCTGGCGGGGAGTGGTCCGGGCGGGGGAAATCGGGTCGAGCGCAGAGGAGCAATGACAAAGCGCCGCGTCGGACCGCGGACGAATTGAGTCGAGCCGCGGGATGACGGGATGGAAGGAAGGAAGGAAGGCGAGGTATCGATAGTTTAGGGGATCGGGGGCATCGGCCGGAGCTCTCTTTGGTCTGGCCTTCTTTTTGTCGACGGGAAGGCGGACCGAAGAAGGAACGAAGGAAGGAAGGGGACGAAGAAGCACTCCACGAGGAGGAGAAAGAAAAGCCGGGCAGGGGAGGAGGAGGAGGTCAGCCTGGCCTGGGAAGGCGGACGTCAAGGTAAGAGAGAGGAAGGGAAAGAAAGGGAAGGGGGCAGGGCAGCGATCCCTAAGAAACAGCAGAGAGCAAGGGAGGGAGGGAATTGAAAGTGGGCCGTGCGGTAGAAATCGGCACTGCTGTAGTTGGGAGAGCGAGGCCGACAGCGGTAGAAAGCTGCCGCGCCAACGACGAGACGAAAGGCAGAGAGGGGGAGAGAGAGATAGAGAGCAGAGCGGGTCGGTCGGGGCCGAAAGAAGCGGTCGCGGGAGCCAGCCAGTAAGAGGACCAGGGGAGCTCCTTGACAGCCTGATCGATTTTACGTACAACAACAGCGGGGGAGGGAGGGGGCTGGTGGTGGTCTTGGTGCTGGGTTGACGAAAAGGGACCGGAGGTGTGAATAAGGAAAGAAGGAAGGAAGGCGAGGCGAGGGGAAGGGAGGGGAGGGGAGGGAAGAAGGAAGGAAGACAGGCCCGGAGAGGGACGGGAGGTATCGAATTGTTGAATCTGATACGGAGGCACGAATGTCTTTTTAAACATGGGAGGGCCGGTAGGGATCCGTGCCTCATCTGCATCTGTAGTTTTTTTTCAGTGGTTTTTGTGAAGGATCGACCCTGAGCTGCTGGATCTTTTGACCGAGTGGGCTTTTTCTGGACGATTGAAGCCTATGTTTTGTGCTTGCGCTCGAAATACTTCATGTGGGAACGAGGCGTGCTTTTCTTCGTTAGCTAGAGACTCAATTCTCCAAACTTTTCACATCTACCTGGTCTGGAACAGGTTTGTCCGTCGGCGTCTTTTGTTGGCAAGTTGGCAGATTGAGAAAGTCGACATCCATTGGACAAGCGCTGCTCTTTCCCGATTGAAATTTAGGGCTTAGTGAAGAGTTGTGGAGGAGCAGGTTTTGAAGTTCGATGACCATGAGTAACGAGCGGAAGGTCATAGAGCTTGAGCAAGGATGGACTTTTATGCAGAAAGGCATTACGAAGCTAAAGAACCTTCTCGAAGGAGTTCCAGAGCAGCAGTTCAACTCCGAAGAATACATCATGTTGTACACGTATCCTCCAGCTGAGAATGAGAGGGAGGGGGGCTTTTTTCAATTGCACAATTGAGAGGTTTTTTTTGCAGATTTTTGCCGTTGGACTATGGAAATGAAGGCAGTCTTTTCGAATGTGTATCTGAGAGTCATAAGACACTGAGGAATTTTGTTCGAGATCACCGTGATCGCCTCAATTTGTGTATCGTGTGAACCTAGTCCTCTTGGAAAGCCCTAGGAGCCAGAGCTGCCGCAGTGTCGTTTGGCTTACAGCTTAAGAGTGAAACAGCTTCCTCCGGCTGGACAACGTTAACCTAACCCGTATCACTAGACAAACACATAGCATGGGCACAAGCGCATTGACAGGAAGGTGTTCGAGTCTCCTGCACTTGGCAGGCATCGTTCATCTAACGTGGGAAACTTACTCGAAAGCATCATCCTCCCGGCTAGCGTTCTTTGCAGATTTAGAGTTCCGATTCGGTGTCTTATCAGCCGAATTGTCAAGATCAAGGAGTTGGCTTGGTTTTGTTATCGAATCAAAGCAAAGAGCCATCAAGGTGCTATTGAAAATTCAATTGTAGCTATTGTCAAAGATTTGGATAGCCCACGTGGTACCGACTAGTTTTTGCATTTCAGGGACTGGGTGATGCCTCCACATTAATTCATAGGAGGGTATTTGGAAAACTGGGCCTTTGACTATGAAACAACATCCGGCATTTGTATGAAAGTTCATGTGTAAAGCACATGAAGTTGTTCCTCGATCAAATAAACCTGATATTTGTAGTCATGTGCCATTGTCACCCTCACGCTGTACAGGGTGAGGATGATGCCAAAGATCCTTATCTGTGTTACCTCCCACCGTTAAAAGAAGATATATACGTTTCCTAGTATTCTCGGTTGAAGCATAAGAAATACCACGTAATTATCTCAGTTGCCTTTTTAACGAAGCCAATCCCGAGTGATCTCCGTATGAGGATCTTCTCTTGAATCTAGATTTGACTTCAAGAAATAAGTTCAGTCCGTCCATAAGTTGTGACTTCACATCTCTGTTGATCTTGTCTTTTGCTAAAACACTTTTATATCGTTTCCAACCTGAGCACCTTATGAAAATTATGTATCGTTCTTCATTGGTATCCTTAATCTGGAATACAGTACAATCTACAATATGTGTACGCAGAAACCTCCACAAGACTACTCGCAACAGCTGTACGATAGGTACAAGGAGTCTTTTGAAGAGTACATCAACACTATGGTAAGACACATGATTCTTTGTCATTCCCCGAAAGCAATGTTGTAGATTTTGTGTTTGATGAAGCATTTGAGTTGCCTTCTTGACTGGACAATGAGTAGGTCACGGTCTGTCTCTCTCGTATAGAATAAGGAGAAATCTGCAATGAGCTTCTGAGCAGCTGAGTTTTTGAACCAAGTATTTTAAACCAAGAATCTTGTCTGTAACGGTTAAGAAATTTAGTTTTTGAGAGAAGCAACATGAAGGTTGTAAGGACTTGGGTGATGTGCTCCTAGAGTCTTGCGGTTATTTGCGCTTTATTTGCGTTTATTTGCGTTTATATGGATTTTTGCACCGAGTCTGTCAGGTGCTTGCAAGTGAGGATGGGTCAAAATGTTCAATCAGAGATGTGAACGTGTTTGGCACTAGGAAAGTGTGTTTTGGGATCTGCCGATAGTTGTATATATTTTTTTCCGAACTCTTCTTTCGCGGCTGCAAGTGATCACCCTTTCACAGAGAATATTTTCAGCTCTCTTTTGAGAGCTCCATCGAAGGCTTCATCTTGGCCTGACTGAGAACCTAAAAACTTTATGTGTCCTAGAGTAAGGCAAATGTTATTCGGCCGTGCGGTTTTACTATTCGGCCGGGCAGTCCTAGATATACGCAGTGATCACATGTACGCGGTAGCCGAGGGCTCTAATGCGCGTAGCAGCGTTAGAATCGCAGAGACTTGCTCTACATGTCGGTCACCAAGTCTGACATGGTCAGAGGGCTGTGTGGTGTTGCAGCATACGTGCAACTTCTATACAAATTCGGTGTTCTTGCCCCGCAGGTCAGTCGTCGGGCTTTTTTGAGAAAACTCCGACTAGCGCCCACACTAAAATTTCGGATTCCAGGCAACAGTACATATTGACAATAGGAATACAAAGATAGGCAAGTGAATGGAGTGATGTTAGTGTAGATGAGATGGTTTAAGCCGAAGTTGCTTCGGCGCGGGGATACAAGTATTACAGAAATTGCTCTTTCGGCCGATTTCTGGTAGCTCTGAAAACTTTTTCCAGCCAGAGCACCTCGACCTTCAGTAGCAGTTTTAGATACCACGTTCCAAGAATCTTTGATGGCGGCAAAGAGTCTGTCAACTTGTTTGTTGTCCGTACCGTTAAGGCCTCTATGAATACGTGGCTCTCCATGGTATTTTCCAGTGTCCAGTTCTTTGATGAACTTGGTTTCACATAAGCAAGGCCCGTGTAAGTCGAGAGACTTATGAAGGCGTGGTGGAGAAACCTCTTCCTAGCGGGGCTCTAATGTGCGTACATGTGATCATCTGCGTATATCTAGTACTACCCGGTCAATAGCAGCACTGCACGGCCGTGCATGGCCGAAAAACATTTTCCTAGAGTAATGCATCCACTGGTGATCTTTTCTCTTGAGTTGTAGTTCGATTATTATTAATGTGGGTGCTATTGTCGCTCCTATTATCATTATCACATTGCATTGTGTAGGTACTGTCAGCTGGTTGCGTGCAAAATAGTTCAGATTTACTTTATTACAAACTCAGCCCCGCTGCCCGTGTACATCTCACAATAATGGTTCTCAGATGCAAATCCGGCTTTTACATGCGAAGGTTGAATTAGATTGAAATATCTCACGTGTGGCCTTAAGAGGATGGTCCCGTTTTGTGGAGAAACTGTCCTAGTGATGTCCGGTACTCGAAAGACAACATAATTGTGTGCACTTCTTTTAGTATAGAACCGGTCAGCCGTGGCGCAGGGTCTTCAGTCTTCAGGCTTCGCAAGGCTTTACATATGGTTTTCGAACATATACTGCTTAAACTGCCAAAAGTAGGTACCATAGTTTTGGCAGTTTGATAACAAGAAGACATCTTTTCTTTCTAAGAACCTGTGTTGCTAATTCGTTTGGCCACTACAATCTGTACGAGTCGATGCGATTATTTTTTAAAACTCGTTTCAGCTACTTAACAGACGTGTGAGGAATAGCACTGGACCAGTGCCAAACTAGGAAATTCAAATGGCCCACTGTCGTTCGTAAGTCTTCCACTTTAGTACCTGGCCGAACACAATTTGGAGTTTGGCCGTTTGCTGTCCACTTTCTATCCAGGCTCAGTTTTCACTTAAGCATGAACATGTGTGGACAGGTATTACCCGCGCTTCGAGAGAAACACGATGAATTCATGCTAAGGGAGCTTGTGAAACGATGGGATAACCACAAAATTATGGTTAGGTGGCTTTCTCGTTTCTTCAACTACTTAGACCGCTACTTTATTGCAAGAAGGTCGCTCCCGGCGCTCAATGAAGTGGGCCTCATGTGCTTCCGTGATCAGGTTTGCGAACAAGTTCATTTTCAGCTCCATAATAGCACTAATCCTTGTATCCAATCCAACCGTATCTGATTTCGTTTCTAGGGTGGTTCAATTGCAGAATTTATCTGAAGGGACAATGTTATCCGCTTTGAGAGATGGGGTTAGCTGAACAACTTAGTTTATAATTTATTTTTTTGCAGGTCTATGCCGAAATGAAGAACAATGTCAAGGACGCAGTGATAACTCTGGTATGAATTCCAAAGCATTCCACTATGAACACGTTAATGTATATGTCTGAGTAGCTCAAGACTTCGTAGATACCCTTATGCCGTGTATGAATAACCAGATTAAGAATCTACCATGAGAAGGGAGTGACAGCTCAACCGTAAGCCTTTATTGTAGAGGTATATATTTTGAAAACAGATTTTGTTACAAGCGTTTGCTCTGCTAGCAGGAAAAAGACGACGAAAGTAGACGAATATAGACCATTTATGGAACTATCTCTCACATGCACACTTGAATTTGTTTTTCCGAGTTCCGTGATTGATACTCTGGAAGTTTTTCTAGGATAGCTCTATCACAGCTCTGGCTGTGGCAGGTGCTCTTGGAGTTGGAGACGGTAGCTGAGAACTTTTAGAAGCCCTTATTTGTAGAGCTTGAGGGCATCACTTTTCCAAACAACTTTTGTTCAAATGAGTTTCTACAGACGCATCAAATATATTCCAATCTGACTCAATTAAAATGACCACCGTCGGTACTGGGCCTATGTCGTCAGATGATCACACCGTGGCGCGTTCTTCTCTCCTCGTAATTGGCTGAGAGGCGAAAACTCATTCTGCGCTCTCTTGTGACTCATATTTGCTAACGAATAGTCGTAATTTCGTGGCAGATGATAACAAAATTTATCAATTGAATTGAAAGTCCAGGAAAACTCATCAACGCCGTAGATGGAGTCATTGAAGCCAAGGAAATCAGTGGGGAGTGTTGATGCCTTGATGCTCACCAATTACTCATCGAATATGCAGCCTACGATATCTTTAGGATTACCGTCAAAAGATGTAGGATAGTGCTTCTGGCTTGAATTGGGATAGTTTTGTAATATCCAGCGTTCTGAACGGAGTGTGATTTGGATATTGCCACAGATCGATCGAGAGCGAGAAGGTGAACAAATTGATCGAGCACTGCTGAAGAACGTTCTCGGTATATTTGTGGAAATTGGCATGGGAAACATGGATGCTTACGAGAGTGACTTTGAGATGGCGATGCTTACTGATACTGCTGCTTACTATTCAAGGAAGGCAGCGTCTTGGATTGAGGAGGATTCTTGTCCTGATTACATGCTCAAGGTTTGTGATCAATGGCCTATATTCTTTGTATAGCCAAGGTTAATGATTTACGATCAGCATCCTTTCTATTGATTATGATCAAAAGAAAATCAGTTGACTTTGGCTGACCAACAATGTCCGTCATTGATATCTGCAGGCTGAAGAATGCCTGAAAAGGGAAAAGGAAAGAGTCGGTCATTATCTACACGCTAGCAGTGAACTGAAGTTGCTAGAGGTGTGTTAAGCTTTTCCCATTGTTATAACTGACAGTTTTTTTGTTGCAAATGCCATTTCTTATGAAATTACATGGAGTTGGTCAGATTACTTGTAAGGACTCGTTGAGACTTTTTTGGTAAAATCCTTATGCACGTTTCTGTCATATGTCAAGTCGTCAAATCCCTTAATGGCACCAGCATTGCTGCGTTAGTATCCATTGAAATTTGTGTACATAGCGTTGTTGCTCTTATTTCAGTCCACATAGTATCGTATTGTCTTTCATCGGGATAGTTGATGGCATCTTAGTACAGCAGGTATGTCCTGGCTTGACTAAAGTAACGAGGGGTATACTGACTTGTGCCCACCTAGCACATCGAGTAAGTGGTGAAGTTTCTATAATCCATCCAAAACTGATAATAGATTAGTGTCTGTTCGCTGAATTTACAGAAAGTGCAACACGAACTGCTTTCTCAGTATGAAAATCAGCTATTGGAGAAAGAGCATTCCGGATGCCATGCTCTGTTAAGAGATGACAAGGTTCGAGTCCCCCCTTTTGACCCCCGACGTATGTGCTCAATTATTTCTATTATTAATATGCTGAACATCATGATGAGATTTTGAATTCCGAGGATTATTTGAACAGGTGGACGACCTTTCTAGGATGTACCGACTGTTTTGTAGAATTCCAAAAGGTTTGGAACCGGTGGCGGCAATTTTCAGACAGGTCAGGAGTCTACCACCTGTACTAAGTTTTGCAAGGCATTTTATTCTGAGATTGATCTTTACAATCATAAGTTATGCCGTCATTAGCTCTACTTCCGTTGATGTGTAAGTGTACCCCATCTTCTATCATGCCATCTGCTGGTCACATGTATTATGCGCTCTAGTCAAAGATGGTATGGTCAATGAATGATAGTGCACGTAGCGGAGAACCAGAGAGCCTACTCTTTTGACACGTCATTCTGTTCTTCAGCATGTTACAGACGAGGGAACTGCCTTGGTCAAGCAAGCAGAGGATGCTGCAAGCAATAAAAAGGTAAAGCTTCGTGCATGATGTTTCCTGTAAGTTTTAGTCCGACCCGCCGCTGCATCTCCTGTTCACAGCCATACGCTGAAGATAATCTGCGGTCTAGTAAGCCGTATTAGTACCTCCCGAATTGCTCTACTTTGAAGGTATCAGAGAAAGCTCGGTAGAATTTGTCAGGTTTGTCTATGAGACTGTACATTCGACAAGTACGCTTTGGGTTTGTGTCATTTCATCTGTTGTTTTATCTCTGCTTGCAGGCTGAGAAAAAGGACACTCATGGAGGCCAAGAGCAGGTAAAGTGTTCAAAACCTCTCCACGTGCTTGTAAAATTACACCTGACACTATCTCCATCAGTTATATCAATATAGACCATTGATCAAATCAAGGCAAGACTCGAAGTGTTTGAGGTGGTCGTAGTAGTGTCAGAGTAGTCATCGGCGTTCAACCAAACGTCCTCATTTTACAGTCAGACTTCGAAATTCGTTGTACAGACTGTTTTCCATTTGTAGGTCTCTGCCTGCTGAAGCTCAACATCGTGGGTCATTTTTTAGTTGATGCCATCTAGCTGATCGAGGCCATTAATCTTTTTTGAATATGTTTCATATGTCTTTGCAGGCATTTGTACGTAAAGTGATTGAACTCCATGACAAGTACTTGCAGTATGTGAACGATTGTTTCATCAACCATTCTCTTTTCCACAAGGTCAGGTTCTCGATTGTACCTTGTTATTGTTGTACCCGTCAAAGAAGTTATGTCTGGCTTCCTGGAGAATACATGCCAACCTTCACAAGGTTATTTAGTGCTTTGAGTACCTTGGTGACTCTAGATCTACCCAGTATCATTGTAAGATGGTTTTAAAGGACGAAGTAAACCCCTCTGCAGGCTCTCAAGGAGGCGTTTGAAGTCTTCTGCAACAAAGGTGTAGCAGGAAGTACGAGTGCCGAGTTGCTTGCCACTTTCTGTGACAATTTGTTGAAGAAAGGTGGAAGTGAGAAGTTGAGTGATGAAGCTATCGAAGATACTCTTGAAAAGGTGAGTCTGATTACTTTTTCGTCTGTGAGTGGCAATTTTTATTCCAACACGGGGTCCGGTGTCTTAACGGAGATTTAGGGTGTTGTATGAAGGTGAGGGCGGGGACGTATATCCTATGGTCGCAAGTCTGTGCAAGAATATGCATGAGACCGAAAAGAGCCTCCAAGTTTGCGAGCTTCGTAATGAAATCAAGGAAGTGTAGGGAATGGTAGAAAGAAAGTCGAACAGATGACTATGAAAAGTAGTGGACGAGAGTAGCAACACTCTTTGTAATGTTGTGGAATTGCTGTACATCATGCGTTACCACCCAGTTTTCGTTCGTAGACTGAACTCTTCGTTGAAAACAGGTCGTCAAGCTCCTTGCTTACATCAGCGACAAGGATCTATTCGCGGAATTTTACAGGTGAGTGATCTAATGTTATTGTAAATGCCGCTGAAAGATATATAATTTTTTATCTTGGAGGATAAACGGATTGTCTGAAGGTTTGATGTTCTCAAAGTCAAACCTTCAAGCAGGTTATATATAGGCTCTCAGATATATATCTGAGAGCTGTAACTTGTTGTTCTGTTGAAGGCTAACTAACTCGAATTGATGGTGTACCAGGAAAAAACTGGCGCGTAGACTTCTGTTTGATAAGAGTGCGAACGATGACCACGAGCGTAGTATTTTGACTAAGCTCAAGCAACAATGCGGTGGACAGTTCACTTCCAAGATGGAGGGCATGGTAACACGCTAATACACCTTGTCCACTCTTTCAGGCTATTTATTATAGACCTTCAGTAGATAGAAGCCGTGTTGATTTTCATTGCGTACTTAACCTTTACACAGAATAGTGTAGAAAGTGATGATATTAGCGATCACTCATATTTTGTTGATGGGGTCATTTCTCTTCGGGGATAGTTCTTGCCTGCTTGGAATATAGAATTTGAGCTCGTTCTGATCATTTCCTTTTTCAGAGTTGCTTCCTTTGTATCTGACTTTTCCACACTGATCGGCCTGAACAGGTTACCGACCTGACCCTTGCAAGGGAAAATCAAACGTCTTTCGAAGACTACTTGAGTGAGAACTCAACGTCGAATCCGGGGATTGACCTGACTGTAACTGTCCTTACCACTGGCTTCTGGCCGAGTTACAAGTCTTCAGACCTCGCCTTACCGGCTGAAATGGTAAAATACTCTTCGTTCTTGCGCCGTACTTTCTTTTCTATCCACATTATTTTTTGTCCTTGTTTTTCTGCGCTGCTTTGTCTGGTGTTGTCTAACCTCCTTTCTCATGTACTGTGTTGTCATTTTCGGCAGGTTAAGTGTGTTGAAGTTTTCAAGGAATTTTATCAAACGAAAACAAAGCATCGAAAGCTTACTTGGATCTACTCGTTGGGTACATGTAACATCAACGGAAAGTTTGAACCTAAGCCAATCGAGCTCATAGTTACAACCTATCAGGTGACTGCTCGTGTTAGGATCAATAAACACTAGTACTTGAAATCAGGATGTAAATGTGTCTATTCAGTACCTCATGTATTATGATACATTGACACCATCAGTTCCGTCAAATTTTGATTGATATCATTATATTTGGAATGCTTAGTAAGTATCTTATACTGCTACGTCTGTTGCCTTTACATTGACATGATCAATTCCTTGCAGGCTGCAGTGCTGCTACTATTTAATGCAGCAGAGAGACTAAGCTATGTCGATATCAAGGGTCAGTTGAATCTCACGGATGAGGATATTGTTAGATTGCTACATTCTTTATCATGTGCCAAACACAAGATTTTGAACAAAGATCCAAACACGAAGTCTGTGGGTTCAACTGACTATTTTGAGTTCAACACCAAATTTACAGACAAAATGAGACGCATCAAGGTAAGTCTCGCTATATGTTCATGACATGATCGATGACCACGCTTCATTCTTATCGCTTGGCTTAGAATTGAATCAGCGAATATTGGAAGTAAACCACGATTGTACTTCTGTGAGAAGAGACCAAAGTTTTTGTACATGTTTGTCTTTTCGCTTTTTGTGAAAAGCTCTTGGATGAACATGGAGCCAGTAGCTTTTTCCTTCATTTGAGTAATGACTTTCCTGTATCCTCATCGGTGTAAACAGATCCCACTCCCTCCTATGGATGAGAAGAAGAAAGTGATTGAGGATGTGGACAAGGATAGACGATATGCTATTGATGCATCAATTGTTCGGATAATGAAGAGTCGCAAGGTGTTGCCACATCAACAGCTAGTTCTTGAATGTGTTGAGCAGCTTGGCAGGATGTTCAAGGTAAAGTCTCTCCTGATGGAGCCGTCCTCGAGTTTCTTCACGAATTTATACTCGATTTTTTCTGGAATTTTTCTCTGCTAAAGTAAACTCGCACACTCCAAATATGGTTCTGACCTACCTGTACGTCTGATCTGATTTAAGAACCCTGGGAGATGAATGGTATTTAACAACTTTTCTCTTGCCTTCTGTGATTAGCCTGATTTTAAGGTTATCAAAAAACGTATTGAAGACCTTATTGCTCGAGAGTACTTGGAACGTGACAAGGACAATCCCAACATGTTCAGATACCTGGCTTGAAGATTTTGGTTGTCATGCTTGGTGCAATGGATGCACATCTGTGAACAAGCCGCCTATTGATTTTGTGTCCACGTAATAGTTGGCAGGGGTAAGTAACCGCCTATTGTTTGCTCTAGTAATGGGCCATGAGAGAAATGATGATAGAGAAGGGAGCATATGTGGTAGGCCTGGCTCTTTTACAGAGGTGAACATGTACATTGTCCCAGGCGGTTATGGAGAGCATTGTACATTGTCCCCAATGGTTACGGAGAGCATTATTGGCATATGTGGGCCTCGTAAAGCTGGCCCTGTCGAGGAATAGTTTCCTTACATATCCAATGTCACAATCACCGAAACCGTGTATTTCCAGTAGCTGCAAGGTCTTTAGAATCAATTGGCCGATCACTTTGTCAAATCATGGAGGATTTCGAAAAGTTTATTTTGGGTTTTTCTGATGGGAACTTTCAAACGCCCAGCCTACCTAGAAGTTCTCATCTGTAATTGGGAAGTGCCTACAGAAAGTGTATTCAGGATGAAATCATAAGTGGCTCTTAGGATCTTAGGCCAGACGGTCTCCAGAATCACGCTAGTATTCCGGACAGGACTAACAGCTGGCTCTAATATATTTATTCTTCCTCGATCAAGACTCAAGCATTTTGAGTTCAATCTTATGTAGACAGAGTAGATTTGCTTGCCCTGGTTCATTATGAATGCTCTGCCACTCATCCTCCTCTTGTTTGCAGGTTTTAGTCATTTGGATGTATTGGTCACGGATGTTCAGACCAAACTCGTCAGTAGTTTTATTACGATGTGAGGTTGCTGTAAATCGTGTAGATAAAGTGAAGTTTTTTTGTGAGTAGTTGTCGAGCGGCCCATCGGTCAATTGTTCCGATAAGTTTTTCCATGATTTAGTGCCTATTGTGATCTAGAGTCTGAGTAAACTTCCTTGAGTAGCTTAGTCGCTTTTAAACGGATGAAGAGGATATGAGCTTCGGGCCCAGCTCTAAAACTTTTAAACTCCTGGGTACGGGTGTTGCTAATTGATGTGACATTCACATGGAAATCTGTAGAGGCATAGGTCATTGAGTTAAAATCCCGTGGCCAACGGTGTGGATGATTCGACGTCAGTTTTCTTCCTACAAGTGAGGTCTGCGCCTTTCAGTGTTGACAGGCCTTCGCAGTTTTCAGAGTTGTTTAGTAGTTAGTGCGGAGATCTCTCATATTGAAGGGATGATTTGACAGCTTCAGACTTTTGGTGTTGCATTTTCGTTGACATATGAATCGGTCAAATTCGTGCGAAGTTCATATTGTTCTTGTTTACCAGAAAGTCCAACGTTAGCCAATGTGTAATTCTTGAATGTTTCTCTTTTGAGAATTCAGTTCAGTAAATATCTGACTTTTAAGACAGCAATCTATCATGTTCATAAATATTTATAAATGAAAAAGAAATCACTATTGATGCAGAAGTGTGCAACCTATATTGAGTATGCTGAAATTCTACACTACTTAGTCTCTATATGGTTAATAAATGAATAAACTTACACATCCTTGCAGACTTTTGATAATTAGACGCGAATGCAATTGTGTATGCAAGTAAAAAATCACTATACATGCATCCACATACCCCCGCGATTGTACATCTGAAATTCCCGCGTCAAACTAATGTAATAAAGATCCTTCGTTGTAAATCTTAATTCCGGTCAATTCATGGTAACATCAGAAGTACTTTGCTCCAATTTTTGGCCGGTTTTCTGTAACTCATAAATCCGACTCAGTCTCTCATTACGTCAATCTCTCACTAGTTCTACCTTGGCTACATAAACAGTGTAGAAAAGAAACACTGTGCAAGACGTTATATGTGGACTTTTGATCTTTAACTTCTAGCGCAACTGGCGTAGTACTACTTGACGAATAGATTTCATATCTTGAATCTAAAACTTGCGTGTACCTGTGTAGATAATAGTTAATGTAACTGTGTATAATACAATATGTAGATAATGGCTACTGTGTAATCAGTAACTTGTGTGCTGCAACACTTGACGAATAAATGAAAAATCGAAATGAAGAACAAGCTAGTCTTAATCCAGTCTTTTCCTAGAGAGTTAAGGAAGTCGAACATATGTATTGTTAACGAGGCAAAAGGAATATTACAACCTTCCTACTCTAATCCTCATTATCTGTAGAGTCGATAGACTAGAGCTCCTCTATGACTATTCTATCATTTATGTCAATATTAGGAAAAACACAATCACCCAACTTAATGGAATAAGAAGTACAAACTCAATTCTATACTGTCGATGGCAATTTATCTCTCAAAATCTGAAGGTAAGTCAATACTCTAGCTGAAGTTGTACTCGTTATTAAGACACAGACAGAACTCATGGAAATATACTGTACTGGAATATCTTTGCAGGTACTGGATTCTGGCCTACGTTTGATTAAATGTCAATACACCAGGTGAGCAAGCATTTGTTTGATCTTGACTACATTGAGCGATTCAATTGAACTTTTGCAAAGAAAGAGATAGATCCATTCTATTCTTATCTTTTTTCAAGAATAAGTTTCAATGTACTATCACGCTAAAGTCACTCAAACACATCTCTAGCACTAAAATATATATTACGAACCCCAACTTCATCTCTTGCAAGTCAGTCACGATCTTAGTATAAAGAACTCATCAGTGTCTACACATCTCATACCAAAACCTTATACATCTACCTGCGTTTGTTTTGTACTTTTTTTTTATCGCCAACCTCATCTTCTTTGTTACACCAAATAAACAGGTACTGCAAGCACCGAATGGCCTAAAGCCTCTAAGCGAGTACATGCCTTCTCCATCATTTGGTTTAGGCCATGATCCAAGACGTGAATCTACTCCCAAAGTTGCAGAGTTTTCTTCTCTAGAAATTAAATCTTGCAGATCCAAATTACACAAATCTTGAAGTATAATTTTTGCAATTTGTGTGACTCCACAAACTCAACCTTTTCATTGTATAGGTTATTTGCATTTTCATATAGCCATTGGCTTGCGATCCTACCTAAGGATGTACATTGGCCGCAGCTTATCCAACTTCATGAGCACGAGGATCCGACCACATTTGATATGTGCGGTTCTGTAATGGACTTTATGCCAATTCAGTAACCATAACTACATCCTATAGAGATTTTTAGGATTTACCAGAATCACATCTGCTTCTCGATTTTGCAATTTTGCAATGGATTTTGATCCGCTTTAATAGCCATAATTTTTGCTTGGTAAGGATTTTCGTTCACTACTCCCGGAAAATTTCTGAGAGGTGTTTAAATTAAAGTTTAATTTTCGGAAGAGATTCGAACTTTTTTTTTTTATAAAGTAAGAATCTTCAAATGATTTGTTGATAGTGTGAAGTTGATACTTCTACAGTTAATGTGATGTGCTGAGGTTATATAATTTGGAACCCACATTCTCTATTTTTACATATAGGCTCGAAGTGTATGTATAAGAAAGTAAACCAGACCACGAATCATGATTTCCAGCTTGATAAAAAAGATAAAAATGATTACTGATGAAAGATTTTCTAGTGACAAAACCTCAATATGGAATTTATCGCAAACGTAATTGCTCTTTAGACCGTTTGAGCCTAGAAGTTTAGAAGATGTTCAAACATGAGGAATTTTAATTCACAACTGAAATACGAAAGTGCTATAACCTCAACATGAGAAAAATCATAAACGTTTATGCTCTTCAGTCGTTTGAGTTTAAAAATACTTCGGCATGTTGAGACTTGTAGGTCTTCTGTTCAGAAAAACGTGAGAAGATTCAAAAACCCAAATAAGATGGATTTGGAATATCGTAAATATTTTCCGTGATTTCGTTTGAATTAGAGTTGAGAAACTAACGTTAAGATTCTTTTTAGCTGAAGATTGATAAGGACAAATATTTTTCGAATCCCAAATTTGAATCAACTTTGTGATTGAAACACGAGACATGTTGTTTTGGAATTCAAGAGGTAAAAAGAGCATGTCAAGCAATTTCATGTGTGAAGCGTGAATCCAGCACATTCTATCAACCAAAGGTGGGATCAACACTGGACATGAGAAAATGGCTATCTTGACAAGGGATCCAGACTTTGACACTAAGTGCTAACAATCTGAGTTTTATACTTTGAACCCAAAATCTAGTATTTGGCCTAAGTTGCAACCATCAAACGTGATGAATCTGACGTGAATGCAAGCTTGGAAGTGAACCCATGTTTGGGTTTGAAGAGGAAAAATATCAAACCGTATCAAAGTATGTATGATTAGTCATAAAGTGACTTGCTCTCATTGGGAACTATTGCAAGATACTCTACAATCCTTAGTCGCAAGAATTGCTCTTGTTCTCAATTTGGGTATCTGGTGGGAAACAAAGTGAGATCCAAGAACTAAATGATGCTAACCAAAATCTGTTGCAGAGTGTTAGGCCAACTCTATCTTGGATTAATTCCAATTAGCGATAACCATGGTCAGGAAAATCAACCGTGGTTAGGTTAGCTAAGATGTGCACCTTATCTCTTCTTATATAGAATAGAGAAGGAGCCATTCACTACATATACTTCAGAGTTGCACTTTGATAGTGAGTAGAATAGAGAAGAGCTTGGCTATGGAGGCTGTAAATACACTTGTGATTTAGTGAAGTTTCTATTCTTGTTTGTGGTTGTATCTGCGAAAATCAAACCACGTTATTTTGGTGTTGTGACTGTTGTGCGTGCTGATTGATCTTGATGATTGGGACTTTCAATTGGTATCAAAGCTAGCTCAATGCACGCAGATTTTTTATTTCCATAGTTTTCTTGGAGACCAAAGAGCGCTAAAGCAATGTTGAAACTTCTACTTGCAATTTGAAGTAATTTTTGGCTTATTCTCTATAGAAGAGTAGCTAGAGGCATTGATTACACTTTGATGAAAGAAGTGGATCATTTCATCGATTGATAAGAGAGATTTTTGAAAATTTGAAGTGGAAAGATCTCTTGCATTCTACAAATAGAGAACCCGCTTTGATTTCTCAAAATCTGAATTTTTCATCATTGTATTTTCTGATTTTTCAAATATAAACTTGATGTACTCTTTGAGTATATCGTTTTGACTCAAATTTTGTTGAATTTCATTGAGCGTTCGCGAAGTTATGAGTTTTTGAAGATTGGGATCGAATTCGATTATGGTGATTTTCCACAAGCGCGAATTCGGAATCACGAACCGTGGATTTAGGGTTAGTGAACAGTTACTCCAGATAACTAGGTTCAAAAGTGGCTCTAGATTACTTAGGTTGAAAGTCAAAGTAAAGGATACACGTAAGTTCCACCGGGGAAAACGCCCCTGTGAAGAATCTTGGCAAAAAGTAATCAAATAGAGAGTATATTTTTTGGCAGTTTTGATGTATTAGACCAATCAAACTATGGCTGTTTGAGCTCAAATTTTGCAAGGTGGTTTTCAAGCAAGTTGTACATGCGATACAAGAGACGTGCTTGAAATTTAACTTTGTGTAAATTTTTGGTAGTAAAGATTAGCTCGGAGGGTCCAAATTTAAGTTTTTACCGATTTAAATATGAGTTTAATAAATTTTTACTCAAATGTGATTTTGAAAAATCATTTTCACACTCAAGTGGATTAGCTTGTGGACTATGAATGGATGATCTCAATTTCAATTCTGAGAACTTTCATTTTTTAACAATTTTTGAAACTAATTGTTAAGGATTGTAAACACTGTGAGTGCTTTTCCTCATGAATAGATTGAAACGAGGAGCGGAACTTGTTCCAATTGTTGCGGAAGATGTTAAACTCCTGCATTTATACTACAAAAGCGAGAAGTCAAGCTTTCTCTCCGAGTATTCTGTTGAAATCATTCCAGAACGTCCTCAAATTGGAAATCGACTGATCAAATCTATGGCGTTATCAAAGTCTTGTAGACCAAGGTTTGAAATTGATCATTTTGATGGTCATACTTACTGTCTTATAGGAAAACGGCAAGTCAAGAATGTGATCAAGACAATGAACTCGGAGATGGTTCTCAAACCGAAACCCCTGAATGTTGATGATGAGGATTGGAATGAGATTCAAGATCAAGTTGTAAGTATTGTGACTCTTTATTTGAAGTCAAATGTGTTGAAACAAGTCAAGGAGTTGGAGACTGTGATAGTTAAACGTCGTTTTCCTCCCCACATTGCTAAGAGCAAATAAACGGGAAGTAATTCTAATTCCCACATAAAAAAAGAGTAAAATATCTTGAGAAGCAAATAGTCCAATTCCTTTTCTTCTTTGCATAGACGCCATGACTTTTCGTTCTGCTAGTACTAAGAACGCGACACCCAGTAACAAGGGTATTATAATTCCAAGTATTTAAAGCGCTTCAAACAAAGTATCACATGAATAAGTTGTCAAATCAACTCTTCACATCGTTAAAATTGATGAGCTTCAAAATGATCAAAGTTACAAAGATCTTGGATTGGCAACCTCCAGACTGACTCTTAGTCAAGTTTATTTCAGATGATTTTTTGATAGCTCCTTAGGGTTCATATTCATACCCCGAACACACACTCACACAATCCCTCAATGTATCATTCCAACTCACACACTTATCGACACTCCAAGGTACTGAAAATCGTCACTCTTTTATATTTGAAACAAGTCTCTTCATATGAACATACAAACTTGCTTGAGAGGTGCTCCTCTACCTCTCTAATTATACTACTTGAGAAATTACCATAGTAACATGTGGTAATTTCTCATAACATACTTTTACCTAAGTAAGTTTGACTAACCCACTATACGTGTCGACATGCCATTGGCCTATCTAAACCTTCTAGAAGTTTTCACAATCCGAGGTTTAGGTGACGACATGCCATTGGAAGCTTTGAAAATTCTAGAAGCTTCTTAGCCACTAAGTGAACATTAGACTTAGTCTAGCCAATCATATTTCATACATTTAGTCAAACCAACCAAATCCAAGCTTATAGTCAAAAATCTAATCCCTTAGAATTTAGACCTTTGTAAAAGAAAAAATAGAAATGTTACGTGTTGCGAGAAGTAAAACTGAAAGAGAACAAAATAGTGAGGCAAAAGAAACAATGCTCTCGGATCTTTCCCTCTCGACGGTGCTCACAGTAAATACTCTCGAAGTAAGGTGTATTGAATGATCTTAGAGGGTGTTACATTCCCATATTTATATGGGAGTGAGGGTTAGTGTACCCTTTATATTTAGAGATAGTTGCGGTTAGAAGTCTCGATGCTTCTTAGGGTTAGGGTAAACCCTCCCTACCTTTAGAGATACTCTATCGGTGAGGTTAGGGTAAACCCTCCCTATATTTAGAGATAACCGATTTCAACACTCCTCCTCGAACGATGAACTTGCTCATTAAAAAACTTCAAGGAGATTGAAGAAAACGAATGGAGTCATGTTCGCATTCTAATTTAACTATTGTCTATAAGTTATGACAAAGTTCGCATTCCTGCTGCGGCTATCAGTTTTCGATGCTGCGGAGCTGGTAATGCCTTGGTAAGTATATCCGTGATGTTCTCCGCGGAAGCTATCTTTCGCACTGCAATCTGGCTCGTCTCCGTGAGATCCTGTGTGTAGCTGAACAAATGAGGACTAATATGCTTGACACGGTCTGACTTGATGAAACCAGAAGATACTTGTTCAATACAAGCTTCGTTATACTCAAAAATGGTTGTTGGCTTCTCTTGGAGTGGAAATCCAGCCATCTCGGATATAGCGATCTGCATGATGCGAAGCCACACTGCTTCTCGGGCTGCCTCGTGAAACGCAAGGAGCTCGGCATGATTTGTTGAAGTTGCCGTGACTGTTTGTTTTGTTGATCTCCAACAAATGGGTGCTCCATTTTTTATGAAGATGTAGCCTGTTTGGGACTTGCCAATCGTTGGATTTGATTTGAACCCAGAGTCGGCATAGCCTATAATATCATTTTGGCCGCGGCAAAAATGAAGACCGAGATCTTATGTTCCTCGGATGTACCTGAGGAGGTGCTTGATGCCTTGCCAGTGTCGTGTTGTGGGGCGTTGGCTGTGACGGGCGAGGTCGCTGACGGCAAAACTGATGTCGGTTCGAGTATTTGTCGCCAAGTAGAGGAGTGTGCCAACGGCTGCTAGATACTTCGGTTTGTCCAACTCCTCCTCCTTGGCTTCAGCAGGACGGTAGGGATCATCGTCAGTTTTGCTCCTCCCTATCATAGGTGTTGATAGGACATTCGCGTTGTCCATGTTGAACGTCTTCAGAAGCTTGCGAGCGTAAGTTTGTTGATGAAGAAGCATACTTCCATCT